CAGTGTTTTAGTGCAGCTCATAATTTTTACATTTTTTCACATTCTTATTACCTGTAAGATATCTCCTGATGGAATGCCACTACCTAAAAGCAAGTTCACCTGATGAATTTAGAGTTTTAGATTTGAAAAGTAAAAGCCATAAAGGTTTAGAGAATGCCCAGTTTGACAAGGTATTGGGCTACTGGAATGAGACATACATGTACAAGGACTGAGAACATACAGTAGAATTCCTGCAACGCTACTATGCTAGTCCCAAGTCCCCCAGCTCACTCACAAAGGACCATCTGAGGAGATGCTTGAAGTTTAAAGAGAACAGCACCACAGATCATCCTCACTACCACTAAACAAGTAAGCTCATATATGAGCTATTGGATTCTGCATTTGCTGCCACACTAATCATTAGAAGCTCTTAGGTATGAAATCAAGAATAAATGTAGAGAAAGGGATAGATTGAGAAGAAGGCTGGAAGACAAAGTTAGGGAAGTTTTGGACTGATGTTAATCAGTTAACTAACATACAGAACGTGTGTCATGAGAGAGGGGTCCTAGATGAATAACAGACACAAAAAAGATGTCTGTAACTGAGGGTCTAGAAACTGCTAAACAGTGGTTGACGGCTCTGGCCACTGAACTGAAAAAATACACCAGAGTAGCAAAGGCCAAGAGATTAAATGGCCTCTTCCCCGAAGGCCCATCGAGGGTTTGCTTTGAGCTGCATGAGCGCAACAGCTATAAGACAGGCCCACCCAGAGCTGAGACTGAGCAATAGTGGAAGAGCATTTGGGAGAAAGACGCATCACATGACACCAGTCCCACTTGGCTGGTGGACCTAAGAACAAGTCCACAGCAACCTATCAGAACAAGAACCAGACAACATCACAAAGACAGACATCCAACAACGAGTCTCCAGAATGAAGACGATCATCCACAAAAACATCAGAAAGATGGTCCTCCGAGATGAGCTAGTCCAAGAATACCACAGACTACTGAAGACAGATTTTGATGAGGGAACAGGAGGAGTACCCATCATGGAAGACCCATCAGCAAATGGAGGGAGTAGTGACATCAATACATTGTATTAGAAAATGTAAGATCAGAACTCAGAGAAAATGCAATACTTTTAATGAAATTTACAGATTTTAAAGATCCTCTGTCTTTTTTTTTTTTTTTATCTTTTTGAGTGATCCAAATGTGCAAACGTTCCATAAAACGGCTGAATGAACCTAACATTAAAACTACACAGGTTTTCAGACAACTGGATGGTGTACCTTAATAATTAACTTGTTTTTGCATTTCGAAAGAAATTATCTTCTAATGTGTATTCCCACATAACAAAATTGGTATAGCCCGGATCTGGCCCACACAATGTGCTTAACATGGCCGACATACCGCAGAGAATGACGGCCCATTGGTGGCCCAGATCTGGTTTGCCAGGTGTGGCCCACACATGGGCCAGCACAAGGCCAGTTGCAGACACACTGCTGGCCCTGTGCTGGCCCAGAACAGTTTCAGCTCTGGCCCCAGATGTCAGCCTAATGTGTACCTTAATCAAGCCATGTAATAACAACATGTGCCGGAACATAATAGTGCAAAAGTAACATGACAAAACTCTGTTCAGACAGTGAATGGACTGATTCTTATATAGCGCTTTGCTACTCTCCTAGATTACTCAAAGTGCTCTATACAACATGCCATATTTACCCAATCACACACTTCCTCTAAACTGCATGCTTCCTCACACACATATTCGCACTCTTGCCATGCAGCCTGGAAGAACCAGGGATCAAACCACTAACCTTCCGATCAGTAGATGATCTGCTCTTCCTCCTGAGCTACAGCCACCCATTGGAAACGACGAGTGAACTGTCACTAGGTGTTGGATAAAGTGTACACTCACAAACCTGTCGAACCTGCATTTGAAACGTTGGCTACCGTAGCTGTATAGTATTGCAACATGGCATTTGGGTCTTCTAACTAAAATAGGAAAATAGGAACATAAACAGTGCCATCGTTGCCAGACCTGGCCCACATCTGGTTGACACACACTCTGCCATGACACCAGTTAATCAGAAGTGCTAGCTTGATGCCAGATCCAGGCTAGACCTGTTTTCTATGAGACTGGGCCACATAAACCAAACCACAATTGGGCCAGATATGGCATGCCATCACATAAACAGTGCCATCTATGCCAGGCCCAAATTTGGATGACATACATCTTATCATGCCAGAAGTCAGCCAGCAGTGCCGGCTTGATGCCAGATCTGGGCCAGACCTGCTATGTGGGTTCATAAATATATTTCCTGGAAATGTTAAAAATCTGGTTTGAATGAGCATGAACTCACTCTCTCTCTTCACATTATTGTGTAGCATGTGAAAATCTACCAGGATCCAACACGAAGGCCAGATTGGTTTGGCTTTCATGTGATTACAAGTTCCCATCTTTCACTGGAGGCTTGTTGTCCAATAATTTTTTTTTTATGAAATGTCTCTCGTGACATGTTGTTTACACAATAATGTGAAGAGGGAAAATTTTAATTCCTCTTAAGTGCTTCAAGTGCTTTCATAGAACAGGAAAGACCCTGACTGATCTGTACAAGGGTTATTCCAGTTTATGGGAATAAAAACATGTTTAAGGGATTAAAATATCAAAACATGATTGTGCAAGTATGTGACTGAAAAAAAGCTATTTTTGTACTGTAGAGTGAACTCAGCCTAATAATCAGCTTCATTTTTAACATGATGAATGCATATGCTCTGACTAATGAATCATTAAGAAACCATAGATTACACACTATACGAACAACACATGCATACTGGTAAGCATCTCTTGATAGCTGAACTGAGTTGTTTTCAGCTCCATTGCCACAGATGTGTAAGCCCTGCAGTCATTTGTGAAAAAGTGAGTTTGAAAGAATCTCTTTGAATTGACTTAATAATTTTTAAATTATGTGCAATTTCCGTAAACATGAGAAAATGTAAACCATGTCATATGGAGTAAGATGCTGAGTTTGATCCTCTTATATGTATCTGTATTTGTACAGCGCTTTACTTAGTTCCTAAGGACCCCAAAGCGCTTTACACTACATTCAGTCATCCACCCATTCACACACACATTCACACACTGGTGATGGCAGCTACATTGTAGCCACAGCCCCCTGGGGCGCACTGACAGAGGCGAGGCTGCCGGACACTGGCGCCACCGGGCCCTCTGACCACCACCAGTAGGCAACGGGTGAAGTGTCTTGCCCAAGGACACAACGACCGAGACTGTCGGAGCCGGGGCTCGAACCGGCAACCTTCCGATTACAAGACGAACTGCCAACTCTTGAGCCACGATCATGATAGCTGACACATTTCCCTTTACTGGGCTGAGAGTATCACTTATAATTATCACTAATATCCATTGTTTATGTAACACTCACCAAAGAGGAAGGAGTTTCAGATCCCACGACCTCGCACTTCAACTTTAGATAGCAGGAAATGCCAAAGCAAGCAGGGGAAACCCAACAATCTAAAACATCATCCTAATTCTAGGTGTAAGAAAAGAAAGTACTGCAGCTAGACTCATTTTATAAGCACAATTTTAAGTGAAACATTCTACTATTTAAGTTTATTCATAGACTATGGAGCTGACATCCAAAGAATGTAATCAATTTTACATCATGTGGTTCTTTCCAGAGTTACATTTGCCTTGCTTATTGTTCTTACCAAGTCCTTTACAACTTAAGAAAATGGTGCATTTAATGAATTGAAGTCAAACAGTGCCACCTTGTGGACAACAGATCAGCCTACACCTGGTCTAGTGTTAAAAAAGGATTGTCCGGTTATGCACCACTTCAGCCAGTTTTTGGCTCTTAATTTAATAAATTGTTACTGCATTTTTTCTTTCAGATTGTTTTCTCTTTTGAAATGTCTCACATCTCAGTGACGACCTTTTTCTTTTTAAATGACAGTTACATGCACGGCTCTGACCTCTAAAAATGAAGCTTTTATATTTGCTGTGTGTGTAATTCTGCCACAAAAAGAGAATCTGATTAAAAATGCAAGTGCTAAGATTTGCATTTGACTAATTTCTGTGTTTCTCACATCTCCTCAGACTGCACTTGGCTTCCTCATAATGTGGACTGAGGAACTGACAGTGCAGTCCAGACCCTGTTTGAGACCTTTTATGGTAAAGAATGTGCCACATGTCATATTAAAGAGGGGAAGTTTTATCTGATGTTTGAAGGATTTTATGCAGTTGGAGAGCATTTATTTTCCCACTGTGAACTCATTCCTATTATCTTTTTAACAACAGATTGAGCGCTAACATATTCAATATTTATTTGGTGTTTAATTCTTTTTTTTTTCTGGATTTGGAGGAGCTGATGACTTTTTTTTTTTTTTTTTTACAAGAGTTTGAGCTCGTGTTGAAGCATTTTTCAGTGAGCACATCGTGTTGAGCCCTGTTCTGAAATTGGGTGCATCCTGATGCAGAAGTGATTGTTTATTAGTTTGATTTATTTTGTAGTTATCATGTAGTTATTTTTCTTTTGTTCTCTAGCTAAATTATTTTTCTTAGTTTGAGTTTTCTCTAGTTTGGCCAAACAGTTTGCACTGCAAATATGGACTGTTGACCTGTTTAGGAGCCTGTTATTCCTGTCCTCAGAGACTCACATCCTTTACAAGTACATCATATCAGCACTGCAGAAAGGCCCAAGCAATGAAACCATGATGTGGATCTGGTTTATTCAGTCTAATGAGAAAGACCAGAACATAAAATATCCGTAAGGATATTTATCTGTAATTACATTTATTCATCTTAGTTCTCAAAACAAGATGAATTATTTAGATGTCCCACTTGCTAGTTCCTCAAACTTATATGAAAGTGGTCAGAGTGAATAAAGCAAAAGGGATCTGAAATTGTTGAATTCTTGTTGACTATATGATTTTACTCATATGAAAACTCATAATTTACAAAGTTCTCTCTTCTGCATTAAAAAAAATGAAAAACATAACAAATGATGGATAAAGTTTTACTGCAGTTTGTAACAAAATATTTACATAACAACACAATGCTAAAATGCTGAGATGATGAAGCTGATTCTGGTCAGTTCTTTATTTGTCAGTCAAATGATGCCACCCTGTGGTGAATTTGCCAAACTACACTTGTCAGTGTTGAAAAATGTGATATAATATTATTGTACTTCTGCGTAGACTGTCTCAGTTTTGTCTGCTGACACATGTGAACTGTTAGTATTCTGTTTAGAGTCGTGCATTTGAACAGTCGAATATGTTCCAGTATCTCTCCTTATGTAGGTGCTGTACGGCTCAATGTCCTCTGACCTCTGCAGAAATACATATGTTTAAAAACATTAAGGTTAAGTAAACAATATAAATGAATCAAAAGTTACATCTTTTGCTCAGTACCGTGTTTTGAGGACTACGCGATGGTTCTTGTTTTCTGTAAGAGAAGCACAAAAACAAACACGATCTTGATCATCAGTCGCTGCATCGTGTAGCTCGTTTTAATGGGGGCAACAGGAAATGAAAGTCACTGTGTTCCTTCAACGGCTCATATGAAACTTGAAGACAAGAAATTATTTATAGCAGTGGTGCACTTCCATTAATACGATAAATATGTCTGATAAATTATTAGCAGGCAGCTAATTGACTTTAATTCACTTAAACTTGAGAACAGCAGGGCAAGACCTTACATCAAAATGACCTTCAGCTAGTGGATTAACCAAAATGAAAAGAGAATCACATGTTTTAAAGTTATGAAGCGTGTTAAAAGGTAAATCATGAAACATGTGAAACACAGCTCTGACAGTAGTTTCTCACCTGCAGCACAGTCGTGCGTAAATAAATCCAAAGATAACTAAACTCACAATGATGAACACGGTTACACAAATCAGTGTAAGAGGAAGTGTTTCTGTTCCAGACCTGCTGCTTAGTTCTGTATGAGGAGAGAAGCAGTTGTTAGAAACATGAAAGGAGTATTGGCATTACTAGTGAACAAAGGTTAAGTGTGATGTATGACTATTGCCTTGTAAAGTTAACAAATCCTGAAGGTCACCTTCTAAAATCAGTACAGACTTTATATTGCTAAATAATTTATGGTTAAAAGAAGAAGAACGTTGTTGTGTTTACCTTGTTTACCTTCCACAGTGACATTAAGATGGAGAATTTTTGTTTTTTCAGGAGTTGAACACTGACAGGTGTAGCTCCCACTGTCCTCTGATGTTAAATTGATCAGGTGGAGAAACCAGTCTGATTTTCCTTCATCAGTGTGAACCTGGAGTCACATTTGTTCTCAAAGCCCGTCCATAATAATACAGCAGACTACAATTTTCTCCTCCACTTCTCTGAGTTCTGATCGTACAAACGATCAGTGTGATGATTCTCTGTGTTTCATTGGTGCATATTTGAGTGACATCTGGTTGTTTCCCAATTGTTTTCACAACAGTCTCTGAAATCAGTACCAATAATAGAAACAGTATCAATGATTTAAACCAGAGGCTGGAGTATCATTAAAAAATAAATGTTCCATTATGAAAACAGTTTTTACATTACCTCCTCCCAAATCTTGTGAGCATGCAGTCAGTGGTAGAAGCAGAATTAAGCACAGGTTTCGTGCAGCCATGCTCGCCAATATGTCCGATTTGCAGTGTAAGTGCTGCTGATAGTGCAGAAGATGATCCGCTGAAGAAAGGAGGACAAACAATGTGCTTCATAAACCTCAAAGTATTGGCTCTCATGTGTCTTGCGTACGTCTTGTGCGAACACTTCTCAAAAGGAAGTGCACCTACAACACTGCTTCTGCTTCCGTATTAAGACACTCTAAAAGTGAAACACTGAGTGGTCTCATGTCCAAAAAAAGAAAACACAATAACTTTTAAAACAAAGTTGTTTTTTGCTTTTAGTCCAACATATAATTTCCTTTACAAAAGCAGGACTGAAGAGCAGAAAAGCAATGAGGCTGATGATTGTTGTTATCAGTGATTCAAACCTACAACTCATTTAAATTCACACAAGCTATTGTACTATTTATATAATGCAGCACACATTCATGCTGTATATTTCATATTTATGTTAACTGACCTGCTTCCCATGTTTGTTTGGCTCCTGCCTGGAGTTGTGTTCATAAAGAAGCAGGTCACATAATGTTACACAGGTTACATTCCTCCTCTGCTCTTCTGTGGTGACGTTCAGATTATCAGTGTGATACTCGGTGTTTCATGTTCGACTGACATTTGCTGAACTAACAAGAGTGTCTGTGATAAGTCAGGAACTTTTAATATGAAATACAATGTAAATAAGCATTTTTATTATAGTTAATTGTTTGAAAATGAAGCACGTCTTTCATTTTCCTAGAAAAACAGAAAATATTAATTCCTCAACTTTATAAATTGAAGCTGTTCCTGCTTTTCTCTTGTTTAAGCTTTGCATGTTTGATTTGGCAGACTTTTTACTGCCAAACTGTCATATTGGTCCTTTTTCGACATGGCACCAAAGGGATTTCTGTCTCCTCCTGGGATCAAGCCTATAATCTTTCACTTAGAAGAAATATGTGCAAACTACTGCACTAAAAATATGGACATTACCATCACAAGTAAAGCACACAGCGTCATATTGGTCAGAAGACTTGCGCCCTCTCAGACACCACATCCTGTGACTAAACCACAAATTCTCACTTTGTCCAAAGAATGAAGTGTGTGGATCTGCAAGATTTTTGTAGGGAAGCCTCGAAGTAAAACAGTGAGTAAGCACAGAAGAGAGGAGAGAAATGTAGAGATTTTTAAAAGGTTATTAGTTAGTAAGCAACATTATGCACGGCCTTACAGGAAGAGCCCTCTGGAAAGACGTGTAAACACAAAAAACAGTTTCATTCAAACTGTCAGTCCACATTTAAAGAGTTTGATGGTTTAAGAAAAGACAAACTTTCTTTAAAAATGATGAGTAATCATGACAATTTGAGACATGTAACAAAACTATGCAGGAAATTAGGCTTTAAAACCACATGAAGCCATGATCATGTGCAACAATGAGTTCCAGTCAGAATAGCAACATAATATGATGCACAATCTACACACCACCATCAAACTGCACAAAACTTTGTAAAATTCTATTGAATTTGAAAATTTCTAAAACCCATATGGAAGTTTCAAAGCCTCACAGCGATGTTGTCCTGGGAGTTGTTTTCATAGGTTTTAGGATTCTGATTCATTTCCTGATTATGCAGGCAGAGAGTTTCTGTTCTGCTCGCTGAATCGGTCTTAGTGCCGTGTTGATGTTGAACTGACAGTTTTGTAGTGAATATATGTTGGCTGCTGAAGGATTGTGTAAAGGTTATCTCTCACAATAAAAAGTCACACTGCATAATTACGTTAATACATTTTTATATTATAATTATATTCCCAGCTGGATAAAAGCAGTCTTTGAATATTTTGATCTTCCTGTATCCACTGTTT